TATATATATATATATATATATATATATATATATATATATGGGAGAAAAAAGAATGGGCTAATTAGGTGATAGGGAGCAGGTGTGGATAGAAGCAACTAGAAGGGAGCTAGGGGAAAGGAGACTGGCACAAGAGGGCAACAGAGAGTGACTCAAAAAATACCACACTGCTTAAATCTAACTAAAATACAACTACAATGACACAAAATGGAAAATAAATCAATGACCAAAAAAACACAGAATGACATAAATCAAAGTGTAACTCAAAAAGAAACTTAAACAGAACCAAAAAGTCCACAAAAAGCAGAATCATGACACATATAACAGAAAAAAATAAATAAATCCTAGTCACCATATTTAGAATATACAGAAACTTGTAGGTTCAGAAGATGAGAGGATAAGTGGGAACCAAAGAATGTAGAGGATCTAAATCAGGAAAGAATTTATGTTTAAAGAACCCTCCCTCATTTTGCACACCTTACTGTCTTATTGTGAATAAGTGGTTGTGTAAGGTATTAAACAAAGGGTATGATTTAATGTGATTCTGATTTAGTAAGTGAAAAGTATATTTTCTTGTTCTGAGAACAAATGTACTCGGATGAAATGTTTTCAGTGCTTTATTACAAGGCTATGTACACAATTTAGCACAATGTGAGCCAATAAATTAGGCAGCCGATGTATTTAATTAAAACATAATATTTTACGTTCTGTCTGTTCTCAAAAAAAGTCAAATATGAAAACATTCATGTATGAAAACATGATTTATAATCTCACACACAGGGCTGGTACTTACCCACAGCTGGTCTCCAGCAGGCTGTCCCCCACCTGCAGAGAGGCCATCCCGAAGTCAGCAATACGAATGTTGTTCTTCTCATCGAGCAGCAAGTTCTCCGGCTTCAAGTCTCTGTGACTGCAAAAACACAACATGTACAGATTAAATCATTTTGTCCATTTCCTCCAGCTACAAATTATGTGTTCTCTACACTCAATCTGGGAGTGATTCTTTATTATTTAAATAATAGGGATTGCACATTTAGAAAGCCAGAATAGTCATCTATTAAATGACCTGTTCAAAGTCTAAGAGTGAGGGCTAAAACAGTTAAAACCCACCAGATGGAATGACTGTGACAGAAATCCAAAGCAGAGATGATCTGCCTGAAGAACTTTCTAGCTTCTTTTGGGGTTAGACGTCCCTTTTTCACCAAGTAGTCAAAGAGCTCTCCTCCAGACACATGCTCCAACACCAGGTATCTGTCAACAAGCAGAACATTATCATTTATTTCCATATTGCAAAAAGTGGAATAGATTTCTAATAGATATTTCAGACCCTTCTTTAAGTAATTTCTGTCTCCATCTAACTCCCAAAGAAAGAATGAACGAGCAGAATTCCATTCCAGAACTTCCAAAATGCAGAGGGAACTCACAGATATTTGTTGTTCTCATAAACGTCATGCAGCTTCAACACATGCGGATGCTCGATCAGTTTCAGAATGGCTATCTCCCTCTCAACCTAGTTACACAGAAGAGAAGGATAAAAATTAAAATACAAAAGAGTCTGAAGGCAGTGATCACTCTAAAGCACAAGGACTAAGGTACACAGACAATAATTATAGCAAAAATAGCACAGTTTATTTATAATTCAGCACAGGAGGCCAGATTAAAAAACTAGCACTGTTATCATCACAAGACATGGGCCTGTTTTGAATATGTACCGTAAATACATGAATTATTATGGTATTAAAAAATGCCATACCTAAAGTTTAAAGTGCTGCTAATTTAAAGAAACAGTAGCCAAACACAATTATTGCTGCACACTACTAGTTAAGAAGCTGAAAAAGGGCTACTATACATTTACCTTACTTAACTGAGAGGGAAATTTTGTATGAAAACATACTGCTAACTATAAACACAACAGTGATGGTCTAAAAACTACAGAAAGGCAACATATCACTATAATAATGGAAATAAGGTTAACAGTTGAAAACTCATATGTGTGAAACAGCTGATTGCAAATCTGATTTCAGTTTATTCTACTTCTCATAGAAGGCTCAACGATAACTTTTAACAATATTAATATTTCCTATTTTAAACTTTCAAAACTAAGCTTTGAAATAATCTTTGAATGAACTCTTTTCTATCAATCCTATATGAGAGGCAGCCATGATGGATCAAAATTCAGGGCTGCTAAGCAAGCTCAAAATATCCCATTTGGTATATCAACTTTATATGATGTTTTAATATTCTGAATGGAGAACGTTAAAACCGACATCTGAAAACAAAATTAAAAAAATAACAATTTCTTTAAGTAGTTTTCAAATCCCTAAATGAATAACAATATTGATGAGAAACGGATATCAATCCTTCAAACTAAAGCTCATATCTTCCATTCAAAACAGGACTATAACCAAAGACTTTGCAAAACAAGGCTCCATGTTGCTATTTGATCTAAACTCAGCATAAATTAATTTTGTTGGAATTCTAAAATAACCAATGAGGAACCTTTTTTCTTAAATAAACCCTTATTTTTTTAATAATTTGTCTCAAAGATTGGTTAAAACTGATACATTTTGGGGAACCTGTAATAAAACTTTGACTATGCTGCTTAGAATGTGAACAATTCTTCAATAATATTGTGTTTTCTTCATTTCTATTCAACCCTAGGTACCACAATCTAAATAAATGATAACAGAGATAACATTTTCATAACTGTAGTGATGTAAAATTTACTTATCAGAACTGATTTGATTTTCTTATTCATTTAAAATGAGCCATACATTTCGTTTAACACCAAGCATTCTTTTTTTACAGTATGAATCTCACATAGATCCATGCAAATTGGTAACATCAAAGGTGCCATACTATACCTTCATCAGGACCGACTCAGACAGCTTCTCTCGGTTGACTATTTTTATCGCTACCTTCTGACCCGTGATACAGTGGACACCGAGTTTGACCAGCCCTAAAGATAAAAAAGAGACAAAAATCCTATTGATTCAGCATCGAGGGGAAAAAAGATCAGATTGACATTCTTCATTTTACAATGAGTATGTGTGCTCTCACCTGTTTGTCCCTTCCCCAGAGTCTTCTCCAGTCGATAGGGCCCAACATATTGAGCAGACTGACTCAGAGACAGTTCCTTACTCATACTGCTCCCACTGACAGCTTAATACACAATTAGAACTAATACTGCACTCTGATTTATTGCAATATCTCTGGTATGATACAGGTTTTCTATAAGTTGATGCAGGATGTTACCTTCAACTTTATATTCAGGTATATCACAGCAATTTCAAGGTGACTAACATGTATCATGGGAAAAAGAAGAAAGTCAAACCCTTTTATAATAAAAAGAAGTTTGTTCAATTAAGCTGAGATAAATATCTTCCTGTTGAAAGACGAAATTTGACAAAAATATAGAGTTTAAATTACAGAAACTGAGGTGAAAGCTTGTATCAAAGCTTTCTGAGTTAAAATACCAACTAGTGCTCTGGAAATGAACAAAAGGTACTGCAGGCTACCTAGTACATGTCACGTATTTACATTAGCTTATAAGTGTAAATGTATTACATCTATATATTATGCCATTAACACATAGCTGTAAAACAAGCCGTCTTTTTCAAAGCCTTTACTTATGCCATTTTCTGTTGGTGTATAACAACGAAATGTCCAATATTAATGCGTATTTGTTGGCTGTGAGAGCGTAATAAATGTTATGTTTCTCTGTCAGGCCTGTTTTTTTTACAGCATGCTATCTGAGGCTAGCTTTAGCTTCGATGCTTCGACCAACGGCCGCCTCGCGCCTGTCACAAACACCGACCCCGCTTGAAGTTTCTCGGCTTCGCCAAACGGTCACTTTTGTCACACGGCTGCCACATCCTCTCGGTTTTTCGAGCTAAAGCGCGCAGTCCTCGCCGGACAACCATCTTTAAATATATATTTATATATTTTTTTCTATTATTTCTGTTATATTATATAGCGTAGTCCTCCCCCGTCCCCTGCCTCTGCTCGTCTCTGCCTCCCTACATCACTGCAAGTGGCGGCTCACAGCATCTTCCTCCTCTTCTCTCCTTCGGCTTGTCCTCCATGGGTGGAAACACACATAGGTGGAAAAAAACACTATCTTCCTCCTGGATTCTGATCCCAGTTCTCGGCAGCGAAAGGCCCCCCTCGGATGATACTCCGTTTTCTTGCCGTAAATCGATATTTTTGCTCCCCTCTTCCCCTCCCTCGCCCCGCTCGCATCAGCATCCGGGTCTCACTCCTTCTCCATCCTCTCTCCTCTTGGCTTCTGTTCTCCGCCCTCCTGCTCGGCTTCCTCAAAATACGCTTATCTCTGCATTCAACTCAGCACCTGCCACAATGTGGGCCGCAGATCATAAAGAGGACACCTCCCTATATGTTATCATGAAAAGACGTGTAAACATCGCCTGCGGTTCAGATGGTGGATGGGAGTGATTTTACAGTAACCTAGCAGGCCTGCAGTACTTTATTCAGCAGGTTTAGGCAATGATACGTACAGTTAGTGATTTGCAAACATATATATATATATATATTCATTTTGCCACAACTACAAATTCCAAAGACTTCAATGCAATAGAATAATACTTTAAGAAATAATAATAATAATCAAGCGTGGAATGCATTTGTAATTATGCAACCCTTTATTTCTTTTTCAATACATTGAGGCAGCAGGGGTGGAGCTAGATGGGGGACAGGGGTGGCCATGGTTCACACTGCAGGCCTTGATGCTCAATTCCGATTTTTTTTTTTTTGCGTAACCCGATTTTTTACGTTGCAGTTCATTATTTCCAACTATATGCAACTTGTATGTGATTTCCTGTCCTGTGTGAACTGCAGTCATACAATGCAAGTGTCCCGCATGCGCAGTAGAGAACGCAATGACGTCACAGGCCAGCGTGCTCTTTTTTTCTGGAAGTAAACCTGGATAGAAGTGCCGGCGCACATCTATCGGTCTTTTCCAATCATAAAAACTCAATCTTTTCAATGTGGTTAAACATAAATACTGCTCTCCGCATAATTGTCCATCATGGTTGCTGTTTTTTCTTGCCGCTTCTGTGTAGCAAGAAGCATAATAGTGACATTTGTCGGGTATTAATGACGTTCAGGTTGGATAAATCGGCCCTGGCCGTTCACACACAGGTTGCATTTGAAAAGATCAGATTCGTATCGGATTCAGGACCACATAGCCAAGTGGCCTGGGTCGGATTGGAAAAAATCAGATCTGTGTTGTTCAGACAGCCCAGAAAAGATCAGATCCAGGTCACATGTGGGCCAAAAAATTGGATTTGGGTCAGTTCAGGCTGCAGTGTGAACGTAGCCTTAGTCAATCATTGGCCACCCCTACCATTTTTTCCCTCTAATACAGATGGTGGCAACAGTCAGAACTACATTTTAAGTTATATGGGGTAAAGAGAATTCAGTGAAATCATAGATAACTATTTTAACAAAAACGTATTAAGAAATCAATTTATGTAGATATTAATAATTGTAAATATAAATTTTTGGCAAAATGATTATTGATAAAAGTAGGTAGGTGATGACAATGGATAAAGATGTTGGCCCCAGAACTCAAACCTGAAAGAATTGTATCCACTATAACTTTTATCGAGGAAGCACTGATTTTTAAATATACTCGTCTATTTGTTAGCAAAGGCTGTAGGAAAAGATAGTTTGTCTTTATTTAGAAAATATGGATGTTGTGCTCATTAATTTTCCTGTTGGAACAGTGTAGAGTGACCCTGAGGTTCTGGCCCCTATCCTTTTGGCCAGCCCTCGGTCTACATTGATTTTTGCCTGGCCACCCTTATAAAAATTTTCTGGCTATGTCTCTGTGAGGCAGTGGGTAGCATTGCTGTCTTGCAACGAGAAATTTCTGGGTTCGATTCCCGTGGTCTTTCTGCAAAGTTTGCAAAGTGTCCCTGTGCATGCGTGGATTCTCTCTGGGTACTCCTTCTTCCTCCCACAGTCCAAACATGACTGTTAGGTTAATCAGCTTCTCTAAATTCTACTTAGGTGTGTGTGTGTGTGTGAATGGTTGTTCTGTTTGTCTGTGTGTTGCCCTGCGATGGACTGGCGACCTGTCTAGGGTGTACCCCGCCTCTCACCTGTAGACAGCTGGAGATAGGCACCAGAACCCCTTGTGACCCCAACAGGGATGAAGCGTGATGGAAAAGGAGATTGTCAGCGGAGATTGCACCAAGCAGTCAGTGCAGGCTCAGCCATAATTTGGCTGTTCTGTAAGGTTAAAGGTTTGTTATAGAAGCTGTTAGGACAAAGCCACAAAAAAGACAATACTAAATGAAAGCTGGCTGACATTGTGACTTGATGTCTCAACTGGATAACAGAAAGGCTATTTGTTGTGAAGCATACAAATCTGGCCTCTACGGTAAAGCTGACGAAAAAATTGTTTTGAAGGTCATGTGTTTACCACAAGTCATGTAAGATACGTAGTAAACATGTGGTTTGTTGTACCATATTTTCCAGCACAATATATATATGCCTTGCACAAGATCTTTGCAGATGACAAAAAACTATGATAAACTATAGAATTTTTTGTCACCTGCTGATAGATTAAATAATCATTTTATTAATAATAACTTGATTTAGTCTACAAAACTCCCGCTCTGTACGAGTTGATCTCATAGTGAACACAGCATAGCAAAAAGGCAATGAAGGACTTTTGTACATGGATAATCTGGGAAAAGGATTGAAAGTTGTTTGTGTGTTTAGGGTCTAAATTGACACTTTTATTGGAATATTCAATTCAGTTTATTTATACAGTGCCAATTAACAACACATGTCATCTCCAGGCAGTTTAGTGCTTAGAGCAGGTGGGATGGATGGTTCAACAGAGCTATGGCTCTGGGTGAGTTAAGCATCTGTATTAAAAAGTTTTCTTATTCTCTCCTATTAATGAGAAGAAGTATTCTGCTCTTGCTTTATGAAGGGTCCTTTTATACAGCATTAAACTTTTTTTCCAGACTAGCTGGGATTCCCGTAAGCATGTAGAGCAGCATTTTCTCTCCAATTTCCTAGCATTTTGCTTCAAAATGCAGAGCTCTGCATTAAACCAGGGAGACAGCTTTCTATAATTAAAGTTTTTCTTCACTAGATAAGTCCCTGAAGATCATCTTCATCTGTATCTCTTGATTGCTTTTTTTTTTCTTTCTATGGTAATAGGATGCTGTTTTTGTTTTTTTAATCACAAAACAAAAAATGTATGAAGAAAAATACTCTTAATACTCTCTGTTTGACACTTAAAAAAAGAAGTATCTAACATAAGGCAACTTGAATTGTAGAAAATTGAATAATAAGATAGTACACAATAGTATAAGCTTGAAGTTTGGATTTCCTTTTTAATCTTGCAAAGATCCCTCCTTCAATTCTGTTCTCGTTTTAAATTCTCCATCAACACCTCCTGTAGCTTTACTCTAGTTGTAATCTTTGCACATTCTCCTAATCCATACATTAGTTCCCAGAGGCTGAAGGAGTCCCATTAGACGGCTCTATGCAGGCGCTCATGAAGGGATTAAGCAAAGATTACCATTTTTTATTATATTTTTTTGCAAAAAGAGTAAAGACTTAAAACAGCTTTTCAAGCAGTGAAAACCCCTAACTACAGATCAGTGTGAGATGTAAGATTTTTTTATATTAATGAAAGTTAAAATTAAAATAAAGATCTGTCCTTGACTAATTGAAAAAGACATCGGTTTATTTGTTTATTATTCATTATCTTAATTTGAACAAGTGTATCATTGCACATGTTGGAGCTACATCATTCATCTTGAGTTTTCTGGTATCTCCATTCTGTGCTATGAGTAAATCCCTAGAAAAATGAGTCATAATGTATTAGAAATTGCTTAGGAAACTTGCTGATTATAGGAACTAAACTCGTTTCAAACCAAGTCCAGTGGATTGTTTTTTTTAACTTTTTTGGAAAGCCCTAGAATAGGCAAATATATTAGGTAAGGGGTTTTTTACAGAGGAAAAATATTAAATATGAAATATTATTTAAAATATCTACAGTATATTAATGGGAATAAACTGAATGAAGCTGCAATCATTTTGTTCTCGGGTCACACAAACTGACACTGTGGGTGGAACAGTACGACGACATTATGATCCTTCAGAGAGTAGAGACCTACAACCTTCAGAGTCTCTTAGGCATTCAGCTAGAATCACTTTCTCATGCATGTTTGCTTCTTTCTGACCGAAAAACGTAGACAATTGTGTTATTTCTATGACACTTTACACTGTTAAAGGAGTGTGCTGCTTCATGCAATGACTTTGGGTTTTATGCTCAGAATAATAATGTGGTTGCAATAATAGTCTTTGTTTTTAAAGTTTTGCAAAAATGGATTTCAGTTTCAGTTTAGAAACTATGTAGAATCTCCTGAGGGCTGTATGGCAACATCTCTTTTCCTTGGGTTATTTAAGGGTTTTCCAAATGGTCCCGTCAGACGTCCTGCACAGAACAAGAAGTAAGAAGAATGAGAAGGAAACAAATTAGCATTTTCAACAAGCAGGTTAATTCAGTCATTTGCTTAAACATTCTGAAGAGGAGAATCAATGAAACTGTGCAGAAATCCCTGGTTTCTATATCAATTTGACTATATGCACTGTGAAGTGAACATGGATTCTTCTTTTTTTTTTTACCTTATATCTAACTTATAAATATTTATAAGTTTATTTCTTTGAATAACCAAAGCTTTCCCTTCATGATATGCAAATAAGTATGGAATAATACATTATAGGGTTTTGTGTGAACTTACTTGTTTTTAAATCCATGTTTCTTCATTTACTAGGATCCCTCAGACAGTGTTTTTATGCAGGCCTGAAAGGCATCCATCAGATCCTTGCAGTCATCTTTCTTTTCTTGAAGGCTAAAACACCAGATAAGACTTTAGACTTTACATCTAAACACACAAGGTCTTTATATGACCCCTGTTAATTGGACCACATGTAATAACTGCTCTCACCTAAAAATGTAATTAAATACTTTCTAGAAGTGTTTTTTTTTTTCTTTTTTTTGTGTTGTTTTTTTCCAGATTAAATCAGTGCAGCTGTTTTATAAAAAAAAAAACATTGGAACATTAGCCATGAACCAAACATCTGCTCCTTCTCAAAGAGATGGTCAAATTAGCCAGTAGCGCTGATTAATGTGTTTTTTTTTTAACTCTACATTAAATTCTTGTTTTATTTTCTGCATAAAATCCTAAAGTGCATTTTAAAAAAATCTTTCATTTGACTATATGTATTTAGAGGAAATAGTTTTTTGTTTGTTTTTTGTTGCTGTTTACAAAATCTGAATACTAACATCCATCCCTTCAAAGTAAATATTGAAGAAGCTGTTATTTACCTTTCTAATTCTTTTATTGTAACTTTCTATCTTCCTTAGAAATAAATGCAATAAGCAGGGGTGGATAATCCAGATCCAAAGAATAAAAACCCTGCCAAGTTTTCCCACATCCGGTTTACCTAACCAGGTGATTAGCCCCAGATCTGCCCTCTGGGGCTGGAAATGAAAATGGTTTGAACTAATATCTCTAAAGGATTTTTGCTCTCTGGATCTGGATTATCCATCTCTGAAAAAAAGGACATATAATTTTTTTGCTAAAAGGCAGTTAGGTTATGTTTATCCTGCAGCATCAGCAGGGTGGTAAGGGGGTGAGAAGAGTCTCCAAAAATCAGTGTTACAGCCGCAACAAGTGGCACCCTGGGGTCATCAGGGTTCCTCAGCAGCTGAATGATGCTGCTCAGATACTATCCAGCTGTTTGGAAAGGATGCCAGATGTAGTTTTTTTTTTCTTTTTTTTTTTTCTGTACAGCCAACACGACTTTTAACGTCTAAAGTTTATAAAACTTTGCAGGAACCTTTACTGGAACCATGGGCCTTGAAAAAAAACAACCAATGATACTGGTTGCTTCCATATGAAAGCCAAACCCATCAATCATTGTTTCCACATAAGCATAAAAAGTAAGTGGAAAAGCATCTAATGGTAATTGGCAAGTATGGTAGAGGTTCTGTGAAGCTGTGGGCCCTACTGTGGGTCGGATGCTGGAAACCTTGGTTAAGTGATCGCGTGGTATAGCAGAACATTTTGAAGAACAATGTCTTGGCCTCTGCCAGTTAACTGGAAATGGAGCCAACAGAAGCTATGACAGAAAAATGAGTCACCAAACCAAAAAAAGCATCTTCCATGTTTAGCTTAGTCCCTAAACCTAAACCCTAGAGAGACCTAGTGCTGCGAGAGGAAGAGAGGAGAGCGAAGGTCAGGATCTCTCTGTCTGCATAACTCATGAAATATATATATAAATATATAGGCAAGTTCCGTCCTATTGGACAAAGTTTTTACAGAAAAGGAACCACTGATTGTGACTATTGTGCTTTTGTTATAAATATTATGTAAAGTAGCATAAACATAAACTTGGATTACTTTTATTCTTAGATTTTTCCAGTATGAAGAAAAGTAAAAGACCGATCCATTTTTTTTTCTTGTTCAACATCTTTAGCAGAGGTGCCATTTAACATGACTGTAACATGAAACGACACCCTAGTATGGACCGTCCTCATGCGAGTATTTTTAAACTTCTGATCTATTTATGCATCTCAATACCTCCTTGTTCAAGGACATTAAAATGTTCCTGCCGTTTGTCAAATAATGTAAACAAATGACTGTTGCTTAATGTTGTTAATATACTTTTGGCAATGTTGTGGTGATTGATTTGATCATTTCGATCAGACTGCAGCTGTACGTCCTTCCTGTTAAAACTCACCACTTGTCAGCGTCCTCCTTGATGATCTGGCATGGTGCTGGCACTGCGTCAACAGGAACTGGCATTTGGACTGAGGGGAGCCGGAGGTGTGTTGCAGCTGCAGTCGAGAGAGAGAAGGAAATAAGAGTTGGGAGGAGGGTATGACGGTGACCACACATGACATTCTGAGGAACTGTTTATTTTGTTCTGAAATGCATATTTTATGTTCATATTGAAATGTTCCCTTTTTTTTTTTTTTTGTTGCTGAAAGCAAGTATAAGTCTAAACATTAATTACTTGGGAAAAGAAATACACAAATGTCTTGTGAGAAGTATTTGTCCCTTTAAAGATATTGTTAGTTTTAGATTTTGAAACCAAAAAAAATTGAAAAAAAAAAAAAGTTTAACAGAATGCTAGGACAGTACCGCGCATTAATAAGGAAGCATAAATTAGAAAAATGAAAAATGCAATTTCATATAACCTCCTGTCTTTTTTATTTATTTATTTGGTAACCAAACCACGTGGATTAAATGTTTCCCAGGTTTACAGATTTTAGTAAAGCTTTGCTTTTAGAGTAATCTGGGCTTCAAACATATTAAATGGATTTCTTGATCACTAATTGTTTTTTCTTAAATATATCAACTATCTTATCTTAGTGAAATTCCCCAGTTTATATCTTTTGTTTTGTAATTATTCAAATGATTGTGTGCATGCATGACCTCTGGGGTTAACTGTTATGCATTACAAAGTTCTCTTAAGTGCTCTCTGCATGAGGTCAGGCAAAGAGGGCTTTTCTGGTTTTCTGGGTTTTGTTTAAACCAGTTTGTTGGCTTAAGGGGGTCATCAGTGAGAGGTGCATTTGCATTTGGATGCAAAAAAAAAGAAAGAAAAAAGGAAATGGATTTAATTTTAAGAAAGGATGAGGGAAGGAAACATATTTTGCACATGATACAATGTTTTTCGGTTTTTAAGCATAAAAACTAATTATTAGTTATCCAGTGATTCCCTGCAAACTCTAAATTTGCTTCAAATTTTAAATGTATCCTACTTTCTTGTCTATTAACATATAATTAAAATAAAAAATTAAGAATGTTTTGATTTTATTCCCCATTTAGCATATTTGCAGGATAACGATTCAGCTGAATCATAACTTTTTAAAACTAATTAAGATAACCAATTTCCTGTTTCTTTAAAGTTCACTTCAAAATGTATAATAGGAACAGCTAAAACATGCTTTATTTTTTTTGCTCCTCCATATGATAAAAACTAAAGAAATGTGGCTATGTTGAGTAACTTACTCGACAAAATATGCTAAAACAATCTGCATTACAAAAGCAGCATGCATAGCTTTCTATATTATGGTTAGAATTATTTACCTGTGACGTAAAACTAAGTTAGCCTTGAAGTGATTTTATCTACATTAATCCAAAACATGGCTTGTATATAAGTGTGCATTTTATTTAGAGATGCTTAACCTACAGTGACTTATATACTGTTTAAATGTTTGAACATCTTGTGATCCGTTGTTGATAAATTTTTTTTAGAAGTAAAACAACCTAGCACAGAAAAATGAATAAAATGTCTTTTTAATTTTAGAATTAGAATAAGTTTAATGTGTGCAATTTTCCCCACCTCACCCCTTGATGGAACTATCTTCAGAAGCCTCCAGTTCTATCAGTTGTGCAAAAATAAATCTGGGAGGTGATGAACCTTCCAGCAGGAAAATTACCCTAAACACACAAACAAACAGGGTTGCAATATGAAAGTTTAAGTGAAACTGTATGCTTGTATTAAAATGACCAAATTAAAGTACAGCACTAAATCATATTCTGTGGAAAATGTTTCTACGTGTGATAAACTGATAGACATTGATAGAAAGATGTGCAGCTGTGATTGGAGAAAAATTTTTTTTTTTTTATCCAAAATGTATAATCAATAAGAATTTGTACCTTGATAGTGGTGAAGCTTGGAATAATACTGTAACTCATCTCTTTAATGAATGTTTTATTGCTTTTAACCTGGAGAACCCAACCTCTCCACTAGAGGGCAGCAAACACTCACACGAAAACGAATACTCAGGCCTGCGGAATTTGTGGGAGAAAAATTGGTTCAATAATTCTATGAAATAAAATGGGAAATATATTAGAAAATGTTGTCAGATTATAGATATATTTAGTGTATATTAAACTTTAATCATGTTTTACATAAATAGTTTTACTTAAACCTGCAATTTGTTTCAATTTGATAAAAATAACTAAGGTATTTTTAGGTCTTGTTAGTTTCTTAGATGTGACCATAAAATTATTGTAATAAGAAAAAAAGGCTTGAAAATATCTTTCAGAAACTAAATATTATGTGTTATGTTATGTAAATCAAGATCTTAAATTAAGTTAAATTTTCAGAAATGTTCCAATTTATTTTATTTATTGCTGTCAGAAAAAAAAAAAAAACCTCAAGTAGGTGTGAACCAGATCTAGCTCCTGAGCCAGAGCTCAAGGATCCCTTCATCACTATAATTACTAGAAAGCTCAGTGTGCCATCTGCTGGCCTAAATAATTATGTACATATTTTCTGGTAGGCAGGTTCTCTAAATAATAAGCTTTACCAGAGGCACGTGAACAACTGTTGCCATGTTAGAAGGAGAGCACCTGAATGGGATCTGAAACAAGTAGTCCCAGTGGGAGGCCAAATTGGGTCAGATACCGTCTAAGAGAAATTTAAAACATTAGATTAAAACATTAAATAAGAGCTATTGTGAAACATCTTAATGACCTCCATATATATATATATATATATATATATATATATATATATATATACGCAACTAGTTTTTTGTTATACAGGTAGCCCATCCCATCTCAGAAAAAGAAAAAATTTGAACTCTTTCTATCTATCTATCTATCTATCTATCTATCTATCTATCTATCTATCTATCTATCTATCTGAAATCAGTGAATGATGACTTCAAGTCTCAGCAAAAATGAGAATCAGGTGTTTTTACTCCAGGTATGTAGATAATAAAACGTAAATGTAATAATAAAAAATAACGAAATCAAGAAATAAAAAGAATCAAAGGAAATACAAATATTTTCACATAT